AAGTCTCCCGACCCTCCAAGTATTCTTTATAAGAATCAAGTATGGGGCGCCGTATAGTTCGTGGAACAGGATACTGGCATATATTTTAGTTTACGGTTTGTAGGGTTTAGGCTCAGAGTATAAGGTTTAGGGGCTAGGCTATTCCGGCCTGATTGATGAGGGCTGAGTGCTCAGGGGCCTGGGGTTTCGAGCTTATGGGCCCAGTGCTTATATAGGTATTCAGGGGTGTAGAGCTTAGAGGATTGGGTTTCAGGTTCGGGGTTAACATACCTAAACCTCTAAACCCCAAACCCTAAGCCCTAAACCTCTAGTCACTAAGCCCTAAACCCTAAACCTCTGAACCTCTAAACCTCTAAACCCCTAAACCCTAAACCCTCAACCCTAAAACCCCAAACCCTTAAACCCTAAACCCTAAACTCTACTAAACCTAATCCCTAAACTGCCCTCCACCAAGGCAGACCGTCGGCCTCAATCTCGCCTCGCGAGGTCGTCGATACCGGAGCTGCCAGAGACTCGACTTGAAAAGGGTTTAGGGTTTGAGGTTTAGGGTTTAGGGGTGTAGGGGTTTAGGGGTTTAGGGGTTTAGGGGTTTAGGGGTTTAGGGTTCAGGGGTTTAGGGTTTCGGTTTTAAGGTTTAGGGTTTAGAGTTTAGGGTTTAGGGTTTAGGGGTTCAGGGTTTAGGGGTTTAGGGGTTTAGGGTTTACGGTTTACGGGTTTAGGGTTTTGGGGTTTAGGGTTTAGGATTTACGGTTTAGGGTTTGGGTGTAGGTTCATGCGTGCTACGACTGTTTGAGTTTAATGGTATGTGTATGTGTATATATATATATATACATAATTACATAATATACACACATAATTGTGCTAATATTCTACATTGTTCTCATCTATGATTTCAATTATTAGTTCATTTCTTCATGTATACGTCTAGGGTCTTGTATGGCTTTCGGAGCTTATGTGGAAGATGTAGCCAGAGCCCTGAGGATTCCAGCAACTCGGTCGGTGCAGCTCAGAGGTTACTTGCAGGCAGATACACAGGACGCATGCAAAATCCGTAAACCCCAAGCCCCACCGTAGAGCCCGAATAACCTACCTTTCTTTAGAGACGTATATAAGCAAATGACGACGAGGAGTTCTATTAACGTACGTAGGCTGTTTGGGGAGCTGTGCGGCATCCCTGGAGAACGAGGCTGCAGCAGATGGCAAGAGCACGATTTCAGTCGATGAAGCTGTGCATCGCGCCACACAAACGGGAACACCCAACCAACTCCGTCTAATCTGACAGTACGACCCCACAAGGCTACCACAGCATTTGGGCAAAAATGCTACAGTTCTAAACTCCGTCAAGCTTTGAGAAAAACCCTAAACCCTCTATAACCCCAAAGCTGGCCTAAGCCCTAGTAACCCTAAACCCTAAACCTTCTATAACACCAAAGCTACCCTAAACCCTCAACCCTCTGTAACCCCAAAGCTGCAAATCTCAAGCTCTGTGGTTAGTGCCCATGTAGACCCCTCTTTAACAAGAGCCCCATAACCCTAAACCCTCAATCCGGAGCTCTACAATGCTTTTGCAGCTCCCTCAACGAACTTTCTTAAATCCTATAGCCCTACTAGATTTCTCTTAGACCCGAAAGAACCCTTCTATAATTCTATACAGCCCTAAACCCTAAACCCTAAACCTCCTAACGCCCTTTGGAAATCGACGTCGAGTCGAGGAAAAGTCCTCTGAAACGAAACCGGATGCCGACTCGCCCCTCTCACAGGCCATACTTTTCGGAGGGGAGGGGGGGATTAGGGTTTGGTGGTTGGGGGTTTTACTTTTCTGGTGGTTTACAACAAGCAGCAAAGGGCTTCAGAGTGAGTTTTGATTGAGTTTTTTAGTTTGATGATGATACTTGTCCGGGTTTTGCAGGTTTTGATACGAGTTAGGCTGGGCACAAACATGAAACAGTACCGTTGGGAATTTGGTATTTTTAAGGTGTAGGATCATATAGAGGAGCAGGAAATCCTATTCTGATTCTTAAAGCCCCTACATTACGTACTCCGGAGCCCTTTCTAACCCATGAATGAGCTTTTTGTTGAGTCCCCTAAACCCTAAACCCTGAACCCTAAACCCTAAACCGCACCCGCTGGCTCGAACCGCCAGGACCAGCCGATTCGTCGCATGCTCTCTTTCGTTGACCTGTCTCTGCAGGCGACACGGTCGGGTTTCAGGTCCGGGGTGGTACCTCAAGGACCAGATGACCCTTAAAAGTAGGGGCCCTATACCCTTAGACTATGAATCCCTAAAGGGCATATGACCCTTAAACGCTTTCAGGGTTCTTTTGGTCCTTGAGGTAGGATAGTAGGATTTGGTGTAGGGCTCAGACTTGCGTAGGTCGTGGGGTTTTGGGTTTTGAGTTACTGTGGGGCTGTGCCCCCACCAAAATCGGAGAACTAAGCAAGGGCTACCCCAGACATGGTCGCGAGATTCGCACATTGTAGTTCAGTTCAGGGTTTCGCATGTTGTGCTTCAACCCTACACCCTAAACCCTAAACCCTAAACCCTAAACCCTATAAACCCTATAAACCCTAAACCCTAAACCCTAAACCCAAACCCTCGTCGTGGAGCCCCACAGGATGCTAGTAAGACCGGTGCAAGACGTTGCTGCACTCTTCGGGATGGGGCGGGTTTAGGGTTTATGGTTTTAGGGTTTTAGGGTTTAGGGTTTATGGTTTTGGGGTTTTAGGGTTTAGGGTTTTGGGTTTTGGGTTTTGGGTTTTGGGTTTTGGGTTTTGGGTTTTGGGTTTCGGTTTAAGATCCAACGCTGCATCCTCACTTGGAAACCGACCCTTGATTGCGTCACAGAATCCTTGTAATAGAGGGAATGACCAATACCTTCTATAGTTCTAGGGTTCGGGGCTTCGGGTTTAGGGCTCAGTAGTCGACAGGCCTCGGGTTTTTTGTGTGAGGAAAGAGTGCAGTGACCCAACGACGTGAGCCCTACAAGTCCCTAAGCCCGAGACGCACTAAATCCTACCCCTCCCCCCCTCAAAAAAATATAGGGGCCGAAATCATTGCCAAGACTATTTCGGAGGGGGGGCTCCGTATTATAATTATAGTGTGCTAGGTTGTTCAGGTCCCGATATTACTGGGTCCTGAGTATCTATAATCGTAGAACGTCGCATTTCTACAGTAGGAATTGCTGGAACTAGTATGATTTGGGGAAGTATCCCCCACAACAGTACCTGGGACCTTTTGCGTAAAACCCTAAACCCTAAACCCTATAGCTTTGAAACACCCCTGGCCAAACAAAAGCTTCCAAAGTCTTGGCGAACTCGTGGAGCCTCGCGGGGGGGTGTCTTGACATTAGGGGGTACCTTGTTGGGTCCTGTTATCTTAGGGGTACTTAGAAATATTTTTTAATCTTTGGTTACTATAAACCCTAAGAAGCAGCTAAAATTATAATTTTTGCTAGGGGTCTAAGTTCAGTATAGTTATAGGGTTTAGGGATTTAGGGCTCAGGGTTTAGAGTGTATGAAGATGTCCTGTTGCCCGTACTAGAGCCGGTTACCTTTAAACCGTTGTCATGATACTATAACCCCTATGTAATCCCATTATACGCCCAAAGGTTAACCTTTAGTTACTTTAGTTCCCCAGGCTACGGGACAAGTAGGATGACGATCACACTTCTGTTAGTTCCCCTTCTCGCCTTGTGAAACCCTAAAAGTGGCCCTTATAGAACCCTTTAAGGAGCCCTTTAAAAGGAGCCCAAAACCCTATTCTATCTCTTAAAATAGGAGATCGAGAAGGCGATTCTGACGGCTGCTTGGCTCAATATTGCCCACACAAGCCAAGCAGGCCCTGTGGATCCGAAGGAATAACTTGGTGTTCTTCTGGTTGGCTCTTTAGACTTTAACTTTTTGGGTTTCTATATGAACCATAATAAGGAGACTAAAAGTTTAACTTTTTGGAGGGGTTCAGAAGTCAGCCAAGAAAACATAATTCGCGGGCGTAGTTATGGCGAGCCCTGGGTTTCTAAGGGCTTTAGGAGGGACCCTTAATAGGGACCCTTGTAGGTTATTGAGGTTAATATGGAGACTACCCAGCTATATGAGGGGTTTATAAGGACTACACAATGGCTACTTAAGGTAATGGGATTAAGGGTCCCTATTAGGGGTCCCTCCTAAAGTCTTTAGAGGGTTGTTCTAATTCAGGTTGATTCTCAGTAATCGGAGCCTCCACCGTGCATGCCAACGAATTTCGGTTTAGGGGTCAGGGCTCGGGGCGTTCAGCGAAAACAGATCAGTGTTGTTCCAGGTTCCAAAGACCTCTGATTGCACGAAGCACCCTGATTCCTAACCCTAAACCCTAAACCCGAAACCCTAAACCCTAAACCCTAAACCCTAACCCGCAAACTCCAACCCCTAAACACGGCACACCCTCAGTCTCGATGCTGACCCCTGATTAATAAACAGCCTTAACCTTAATATAGGGGCCTAAATGATTACCTATATTATGTTGAGGGCTCCTTGGTATAATTGGAGTATATAATGGGCCCCAACACCCTATTCTAACTATTGAGGCCCCGATAGTCATAAACCGCCTCAACCTAAACCCCAAACCCTAAACCCTGAACCCCAAACCCTGAACCCTAAACCCTAAACCCTAAACCCTAAACCGAAACCCTAACCCTAAACCCTAAACCCTAAACCCTAACCCTAAACCCTAAACCCTAAACCCTAAACCCTAACCCTAAACCCTAAACCCTAAACCCTAAACCTTAATATGCGACAGGAGA